TCCTCTCCTCCTCCCCTCTCCTCCTCCTCTCCTCCTTCTCTGCTCCTCTCTTCCTCCTCCTGCTCCTCCTCCTCCTCCTCCTCCTCCTCTTTGTATCCTTCCGCTCTCATGGAGAACCTATTTCTATACCCCGTATGCATTCTTTATGCTCATCATTTTGAAACATAAGGTTAAAACTGTAATAAAAAAGGTTAGCTAGGGGCCGGGGAGATGGTTCAGTGGAGTAAGTGCTTCCCTGGCAAGCACAAGGGCCTGAGTTCAATCCCTGGTTCCACCAAAAAAAAAAAAAAAAAGTTCAGCTGAATAATTTTGTTTTAGATTTCATGAAAATTCCCTAGTTGATATTTGAGGAAAGGAGAGGGGCACTGCCAGACTCCGTGGTGATACCCTTCCATCCTATGCTCACAGCACCTTTTGAAAGCCACCGGGATAGCCCATTGGCTCTGTTATGGTTGAAATATGAAGCATCCCCCAAAGACTCAGAGGTGAGTGGAGGGAGAGGCTGCTCACTCACTGAGGGGGAAACGCACCCGTGACTTCAGAGCTGAGCGGGCTGTTAGGAGGTGAGGTCCCTCCCCCCCCAGGAGATGGGCCAGGGGGCCACGACGTGGGGGCTGTACTGTATCTGGTCCCTGCCCCCTCCTCTCTGGCTCTTCTCTTATGAGCAGCCTTCCTCCCCTGCCCTTCCACAATGCTGTGCACCTTGGAACTGACTACCATGGACTGAAACCTCAGAAGCCATAAGCCAAAATAAAGCTCTTCTCCTTTAAGTTACTATCCTCAATTCTCCTGGAGGATTCATTGTGACAAGGCCCTCCTTGAACGGTCAGATATGGGGAAGGCTCTTTGGTATTTCAGTTCAGATGGTTTGGGAAAGAGACCTAAGCACAGATCACTCCTGGGGGAGCAGACAACGGGCACACACCACCCCAGAAAACCCACACTCAATGCAGACAAGCTGCCTCTGGATAAGCTCAGTGTAGTGGTGTGGGGAGGTTGGGAGACTGTCCCTGGAGTGGCCCTGTATGTTCCAAAGACGGGGCTTGGCTGCTGTGGCTGAGAGCAGATGCTAGAGCTGCAACAAGCAAGCGCAGCTTCCAGGCCTGACCAGCAGAAAGGCCAGATGCCGTGGGAGCCACAGCCCATGCCATGCTTCTTTGTGGGTTCCACCTTTTTGTTTTTAGTTTTATGTTCTCGGCCCTTTTTAGTTTTTAATTTTTAAGAGACAGGACTCTCTGAGTCACTGAGCTGCCCAGGCTGGGCTCAAATTGATAATCTTCCTGCCTCAGCCTCCCAGAGCATTTTGCTTTTGTCCCCGTATTGATACAGCAGTCCCAGGTGTGACTTGGCTTGCTGGGACCTGAGGGAGCCAACCCCACACCATTCGGAGGAGAAACTGTCTTTGAAACCAAGGGAAGTTGGCAGGCAGCTCCAGGTGACCAAGCAGGATGTGGTAAGAGCATGTTGACCTCTGTGTGTGGGCTCTCCTCTTCCTGGGACTCTAAAGGAGTTCCTCTCGCCCTCTCCCTGGGGGCTATAAAATGGGGAGGTGCTGAGTGTAATATCTGTGTCTGTAATTTGCGAGGCATATGGGAGTATGCTTCTTTCAGAAGAGGTGATGCAGGGGGTGGGACAAAGAATGCCAGCCAACCCTCCCAGTGTGGCCTGTCACCCAAAGAGAGGAGATGTTTTAAAAATCCGAGAGTAGTAGCCAAATCTGAGTGAGGACAGAAGGAACATGGGAACATCACTGTTACAGCTTGGAAGGTTTTCCCCTCTGTCGTGCTGTGGGGACACCAGACTCTCTCCCACCCAGTGGGCCCGCGTACCTGAGGTTCCCTTTGTTGGTGGCATACTTGACGTGGTTGCAGATGTAGTTGAACATCCCATGCGCTGTGGTGCAGTCGCGGGCATCAAACACCTGGAAGAAGTGTGTGGCATCAAAGGCCTTTTCCTCCCTCCCACAATCCAGGACAGCCTGCCCACTTCAAGAGAATCCAGAGCCCGTCCCAGCTACGGACCCGCTGGAGTCATGAACATCTCATTACTGAGGTCCAAGCTGTTTTATTATTTTCTGTAGCCTATTGAAATAACAAAGGTCAATCAGACCAGGAAAAGTCTCCGAAAAGTAGGCATGGGCTGGTTCATTTTCTGTCAGGTTACTAGGGACAGGGATGAAAAAACAAACACAAATCAGAACCTCCTGTCCTAATGAGTAATGTGCTTACAATAGGAAATTGTTCTCTAGAATAAAATCAGACCAGGGGAAACAAACCAATCTCTTCAAGGAGTAGGCAGAGAATGGAAATAAGCCAAGAGAGGAGGCATAAGGCAAAAGGGAGTGGTAGGGTCTGCAGCAAACTGGACAGCCTAAGTTCTACCAAGAGGTATGCAAATTCAGGTAGAAGAAAAGCAGTGTTGGCTGAATCAGACATGGCTATCATCAGAATTTGGCTATAATCTGAGGATCCAGGATCTTGTCAGTCACTATGGCCAACAGGAAAAAGGATTTGACCTTTTCCGAAGATCCATCTGCTCCCCCACCAAAGGGCCTTCTGGGCCTCTCCGTCTCACCACCCACCTGCAGCTTGGACCACTGGATTCTGCCCACGCAGCGGGCAGCGTTCCGCCAGGCATGCTTGGCGCCATAGATGAGCTCGGTGTCTTTGAGCTGGTAGGTGCTGGTGCTTTCAATCTCCTTGTTCACCTCTTCCAGCCTGTCCATGTGGGCCTTGGAGCCAAATCTGAGTGAGGACAGAAGGGACATGGGAACATCACTGCTACAGTTTGGAAGGGTTTCCCCGGTGGCCCGCATGTGCAAGCCTCATGGCCATCCCCTGGTGCTGTCGGTAGGTAGGGGCACCTTTAAGAGGAGGGGCCTAGTGAGAGGAAGTTAGGTTATTAGGGGCGTATCCTTGAACTGGATTGGACGGCTCAAACACTCCCTGGCTCTTTGCTTCTTGGCTGCCATTAGGTGAGCAGCTCCTGCTGTTACACACTCCCGCCACGATGTATTACACTGCTCCGGGTCCAACAACAATGGGGTCAGGCAACCAGGGACCAAAACCTCTAAAATGATCAGGTGAAATGAAACAATTTCTTCTTTGTAAGGTGATTCTTCCAGGTATTTGGTATAATGACAGAAGGCTGACAACACCCTCACCCTCTCTCCTGAAGTGAAGGTTGATGGAAGGGACAAGATATTACAGGAAGCCACAGCCAGAGAGCCCCACGTTGCTGCCAACGCACAAGAGTTTGAGCGTAAAGCAGACGCTGTACAACTCAAATGCCCACAAAGGCCTTGCAGCGCATGCAGGATAAACTGTCTCGGTGGGGACTGTGACAAATGGCAAATCCGGTCCCCAGAGGGTAGGCAGGATGTCACTCCAGCCGATCGCCTGCCTGACAGGAACGGGGGCTCTGGGCTGTCAGATTACACTGAAGACATACTAGAAATCAATTTTTAAAGAGAACTCCTCTAAGTTTTAAGTGTTGGCAGTATGTTCAATTTGAGAAAGTTAAAAATTAATTTTAGGCTGATAAAAAGGTATACAGAACAGAAGGATACATCCTCAGGCTAAGAAATGAGACTATAGTTTTTGTGGGAATGATTTCCCTGTCATGGCCCCCCTCTCCCTACAAGTGACTGTTACTTTTTTTTTTTTTTCTTTGTGGTACTAAGGATGGGCCCTAGAGCCTTGCACATGCTAGGCAGGGGCCCCACCACTGAGCTATACTCTCAGATTTTTAAAATTTATATATCGGTACTGGGGGTTGAACCCAGGGCCTTGTGCATACTAAACACATGCTCTGCAGCTGAGCTCTATCCCCTAACGCTGGAGACTGTAGATTTTTTAGATTAGGGGAAAAGTCTAAAGTCAGAAAAACATTGAAATCTGAAACACATTGGTCCTGAGCATTTTGGATACAGGATAATTAATACTGTACTCCACTCTGGAATACCACACCTTATTTACCCACCTCTTATTGATGGACTGAGAATTTTTTTTTTTTGAAGGTTTTTGTATTAATTTTTAAAATTACTTCTTGGGCTGAGGAGATAGCTCAGTGGCCTCAGCACCTGCATGGCAAGCAAGCACAAGGACCCAAGTTCAATTTCTGGTACCACATAACCTGCCAGAGCTGAAACTGGGTGTGGCGGCTCATGCCTGTAGTCCCAGTGTTGGAGAGGCGGATACAGGAGGATCACTACAAATCTGAACTGTGTAGCAAGACCCTGTACCAAAAAAAATAAAGTAAAATAAAATTACTTTTTACAATTTTGAAATAGTCTTGTTAAATTGACCAGGCTGGCTTTGAGCTCACAATCTTCCTGCCTCAGCCTCCCGAGTAACTGAGATTTGGAGCATGTATCACATATGAAGTTTCTGTGTGATTTTTTTCCTATGATAAATAATGTTTCTATGTGTGTGACTTCTTCTTCTTTTTTTTTTTTTTTTGCAGAACTGGGGATTGAACTTGGGCCCTTGCGCTTGCCAGGGACGCACTCTTATTCTACCGAGTCATCTCCCCAGCACGCGTGACTTCTTTTAAACAAGCATAAGCATTCTGGGTGAGGAATTGCTTGGAATGTTTCAGCTTGAGGGAGGCACGGTGTGGAGTGAAACCAAACCCAGGGCTTTTGCACTGAGCTACAACCCCAGCTCTATTTATTGTTTTTATTTTGTTGCCATGTCTTACTAGGTTTTTAAGTTACTTAGGCTGGACTCAAACTTGTGATCCTCCTGCCTCAGCTTCGCAGAGTGCTGGGATTGCAGATGTGTACCAACCACATCTGGCTTGAAAAGTTTCAAATTTTCAGCAACCCTTTCGCAGGCCAAATGGAAACACTTCTAGGGGCCAGCGCTGACCATTTGGCTGCCAGTCTTGGACCTCTGCATGGCAGGCAGAGGTCTTACATTCAAGGCTTGGCTCACCGGTCTGTAGTTGGAGCTTACGTCCTTGATAACTTTTCCCGGGTTTCCCACAGTGGACGCACACTTGCCTTTTAATCGAGGAGTAGTACTGATCCAGGAACTCTTTGGCGAGGGGGAAGAGCTGACCCTTGGTGCGGACGTCCTCAGGCCTTCGTGTGTGCTGGGATGGCAGCATGATAGAGCCCGTGCAGATGTGCTCTGTGCAGCCCGTTTCCTGTGGGGCCAAGACAGACTTGTATGCACAGCCAAGTTGCTCTGGCTCTTTATTCCTAGGGATTTCTTAGTGGCCAGCTTCTAACTATTGTTGGCTGTGGTCATCAGCCAAGGTGAGGAACAGGGAACCATGTCTTAAAGTCCTTAAAAATGTTTGTTGTCATCTGGGGGAGGAGGGGGTGTTCTGAGTAGGAATCTGCATCTTTGGCAATCAGTTCCAGAATGTTTATTGATCCCATGTTGATCCAAAAGAAAGAGCTGATTATCAAAGTTGTCCCCAATGCTTTCCCTCCCTGTGTTCTCTTTGTACCATGGCTTTACAGTAGCTTCCATGGGGAGGTGGAATGTGTTCTGAACTCCTTGGATGTGGGGTAGCTTTGGCCTATAGAATGTGACAGAAGTGACCCTGGGCTATACCCAAGTCTGGACTTCAGGAGACTGAATCCTGCTAACGTAGTCCACAAGCCCAGCTGTCATGCTGGGAAAAGAGTGTCTCCGTGTGGAACATAGTTATGTCAGTCAGGGTTACCCTACACCAGCCTGGCCTGAGCTGTCCCCATGGATGACTGCAGGCTCATGTGCTAGCCTCACTGAGATCACCTATGTCTTCAGATCTATAGAACCGCCCTACTAATTCAGAAACTCTTCAAAAATAATACATAGTTTCTTTCAACCACTTAAATTTATGGGCCTGTTTGATACACAGCAATAGCTAACTGATGCAACATGCCTCCAAAATGCCCATTTTCAACAGAAATTTAAAGCAATGTGTTGACTATTGAAATATGATATAGAAATTTAGAAGACATACTGCAACATCAAGGAAAGGTTAGCAAATTCTCCTTCAGTGGCCAAACCAAGAGACAACAAGAATATTTTCTGAGCCAGGGAATGTGCTTGAATTCTGAAGGGTATGCAGTACACTGATAAGAGCGCCTACACAGGTGAGTGAGAAATCACCAGTGGTCCTCCGCCAGGGATGAACTTCCTTCTCAGAGGAGGTCAGGCAATACCTGGAGACCTTTTGGCTGCTATACGTGGACTGGGGTAGTGACGCCTAGGAGGACAGGACAGGGGTGAGGCTAAACCTTGTGCCGTGCACAGGCTAGCTGCCACAGCCACACTGTGTCTGGCTCCAAATGCAGGCAGGGCTGAGGCGGGGCTACTCTGGTCTATTCTGGGCGGGGCTACTCACCAGCGTGCTCTTAAGGTGCAGGGTGTCTGTGAGAACCACCTCGGTCTCCCAGTTCTTGACCTTGAGGAAGCGGGGGCACTTGGAGGGGCTGCCGTTCTTGGGCGGAGACTGTCTGCCCGAGGCAGGGGGCTGGAGGAGAGAGTGCAGGTGGAGTCAGGCAGGTCTCAAGGCCGCAGGGCCTCTGCGTGAGCTGTCGTCACCACCCTGAGCGGCTTGAGCCACCTCAAGTCGGTCTCTACCTCTGGAAACCACCAGAGCAGCCAGCAGCAGTGGTCGGGGGCCAGCAGCGGTGGTCGGGGGCTGCACAAGATTCAGGCTGAGCAACGCTGGCCCATTGATTTGAGACCTTTCCCATCAGGATTACATCCACCTTGTGTGGTTTTGGGTGGATGTCTTATTTGCCCAGACAGAGGTGTGCCCATGTGGTAGGCCAACATCAGTCCCCCAGCAGCTAGAAGAGAGCCAGCAGGCACACTCACTACAAAGGCCTAGCTGGGGAGGGAAGGTGACAGGCAGAAGTGTTTAGTGATGTTTGTACAGAGAGTAGCAGCCTAGTAGGGTGGGATTCAGGAGCTAACTCAGGGATGGAAGAGAATACCGAAGGACAGACACTGAAAACTAATGTTCCAGGAGGACTTACTAGGTGCCAAGCACCAACCGTATTATCCCCATTTTACAGATTAAAAAACTGAGGAACGATGGCTTTCGGTGAAGAAGAAGAGAGACCCAAGCAGCGCGCCTCTGTCACACCATGGGTACCCTCGGCCAGGCTGGGGTCTGGGCAGCAGGGTGTCCTCCCCATTCCTGGTGCTGTGCTCATGGAATTGTCAGCCTCAAGGACCTGGAGCCAAATAAATGTCTACTCTTAAATAAATGTTACTCTCTTTGTGATAGGCACAGATCATGTATACAGCAGTATTCAGTTACCTGTGCTAATACCCCAGGGGCTGAGCCACAGGACCTCGGGGGAGGATGGCAGCACGGGTGTGGGCACTGGGGCGGGGAGGGTGGGTAGGTGGGGAGGGCAGCCAGGCGTGAGGCCAACTGTTGGGGCTCCAGATGTGCGTCAGGACAACGGACACTTCTGGGTGACAGGGGCCATGGGCACGCTGTTCCATAGGACTTGAATTTGGCAAGGCAGGCTGTGAGCTCAGGGCCCTCGCAAGGCTGGGTTGTCGCCTCCTTGCTAAGGAGCCCGAGAGGGCCTGAGGAAGGGGTCTGGGCCAGGCCTCCAGGAGGCTGCAAGGCTGCCTGCACACAGGGCGCTCAGCCCACTGCCAGGGAAGCCCGCACGGATGGCTGCCTGCTCCGAAGCAGTGGCCTGCAGACGGCAGCTCCAGGGCCCTCCCCGGGCCTGCTGCCGCTTCTGTCCAGCCCGAGTGAAGAACGGTTTTTCCACTTTTAGACTGTTGACTATAAAAATCCAAAGAAGAACAATACTTTGTGACACATGAAAGTTATATGCAGTTCAAATTCCAGGCTCCATAAATAACGCTCTGCTGGGCTCAGCCACACGCATTTGTCCCTGTGTTGTGTCTGGGTGGCTTCTGCCGGACTCAGGTGGCAAAGCGGGTAGGTGTGGGGATCAAGACTGGACACCCACAAAGCGGACACTATTGCCTATCATGCCCTTTATGTAACACATTTGCAGATGCTGGAGGGAAAGGGTCTAATTCCAGTAGCTGAATACTGAGTGTCACACATCCCTGCTAGAGATTTTCCTGATCTTTCTTTAAAACACTACTCAGTCCTGCCAGGCATAATCCTGGCACTCAAGAGGCTGAGGCAGGAGGATGGCCACAAGTTCAAGGTCAGCCTGAACTATACCCTGTCTTGAAACAACAACACAAACCCCTAAAATGTCCCCCAGCCCTGCCACCATGCTCTCTGCTACCCTCCCCACGCTTCAGATGTTGTCAGAGCACTTGTCCCTGCTTGCAGTGACTGTGATAGTATGTGTGTGCAGGTGCACAGGTGTGCACGTGGAAACATATGGTGGCATGCAGGTGTGTGTGTGAGAGTGTGTGTGTGCATTGTGAGAACCGGTGTGTGCACACGTGTATGGGAGTATGTGCTTATGCCAGTGTGCATATGAAAGTGTATGCATATGTTCAAGCACATGCAAACATATATGTGACAGTGTGTATATCTGTGTAAGAATGTGTGCATGCCACATGCATGTGCATGTACGAGAACATGCACATGCACACATGCATCTGTATATCTTCATCTTATTACTTCATATATATTTAGATAACACAGGTGTCTCTCGGTATCGGCAGGCATCTGGTTGCTTTGAAGGCCAAAATCCAGTTCAAGTCCGCTATAAAATGATGTAATATTTGCACGAAACCTGTGCATATCCTCCCGTGTAGCTTCAATTATTTCTGAAGTACTTACGATGCCTCACACAAGGTAAATGCTGTGTGCACAGTCGTCGCCCTGTACTGTTTGGGGAATAATGACAAGACAAAAGCAGGTGCATGCACGTTGTATAGTTGTGATCTTTTTTTTCCCCCTGCACAGTTTCTGTCCGCAGTTGGTTGACGTGTGCCTGTGGAGCCTAGGATACAGGACTGACTGTTTTCTGAAGACCCACTCTTCAGCCTGCGCTGTCCCCACCCCAGAACAGCGGCACCCCAACATGTGCCCAACAAACATTTGGGGTCTGCCTTAGAGTGAATCGTGCCTCACCAAGTTCTCACGTTGCAGCCCTGTGCTACGGTCCTTCAGTGTGGCTTCACAGGCGATAGGGCTTTTAGGAAGTAACTTGTTATCTCCCAGAATGTGAGTAGGGTGGCGTCCTCAGCTAGTGGGACTGGTGGCCTCTTCCTCTCTTTTACATGGGGGAAACATGGTCATCTGCAAGCCAGGAAAAAGGGTCCTTCTCGGAAGTGGGCAATGCCGGCACGCCGATCTCAGACTCCCAGGGTCCAGAACTGTGTGACTATACACTTCTGCTATTTCGGCTGCCCAGTCCCCAGTACAATCCAAAGCCTAAACAAATTTTGGAATTGTAGAATCACTTTCACTCAGCAGAAGACTCTGCTCTGGCTTTAGTGGAGAACAGAGAAGCCCTGCAGCTGTCCAGCTGAGCGAGTGACACCGTCAAAAAGCTGAGTGTTGGAACTACGAATGCTTCTGACCCGCCACGGGGCCCCATCCTGCCAGGCCCATTGTATGCGGAAAATATCATAAGTTAGAAATGCATCTAATCTGCTTAACGGCTTAGCGGCCCAGCACACTGCCGAGTGTTGGTTGTCCCCCTGCCGACTGCACGGTTGACCGGGAGCTGTGGTTTGCTGTCCCTGGCCAGCATGCAGAGGGGATCATTGCGCACACCCTTGCCCACCACAAGACCCAAATCCAAAATTCCAAGTAGGATTTGCACTGAATGCATCTCGCTTTCACACTGCTGTCCAGATAAAAACTCCTAAGTCAAACCAGTGCATGTGGGGGGATCTATATGTGATGCAGAGGAGGGGCTGAAGGGAGAGACCCCTTGGAAGTGGTGGTGGCCACAATGCAGGGCAAAAAATAGAGCCACACGGCTGGATATGAGAGATAAGAGTCAGGGGTGCAGATCAGGGGAGAATGGAAGGGAAAGGAGAGGTCAGGTTGGACTTGGGGCTTCCGGTCCGTGTGCAGGAAGAGCTTTCTGGGGGGCACCGTGGGCAACACTGAGTGGGAGGTTGGGGCAGGAGGGCACGCACAGCAGGAGAACCGGGAAGATGTAGAAGCAAAGCCCACGCACCTGCCCTTCGCAACAACCGGCAGTGAGGGTCACATCATTGTCACGAGCCTCAGGAGAACCAGCTCTGAGAGCAGTGGCCAGGACCGGGGGGCACTCGAGAGACCCAGAACATCTTTGGAGGTGTTATATGCTGAGTTGTGTCCCCTGCCACACCAGCTCACATATGGCCACTCTCAACCTGAATGCCTCTGAGTGTGGTCTGATTTGGCAAGAGGGTCTTTATAGAGGTGATTACATTAAGATGGGGATGCTAGGGGGGTGTGCAGTCCAACACTGCTGCTGTGCTTCAAAAAAAAGGAAAATTTGGGCTGGCCATGGTGGCGCACGCCTGTAATCCCAACACTCTGGGAGGCTGAGGCAGAAGGGTTGCAAGTTCAAGCCTAGCTTAGACAACTTAGTGAAAACCTAGCAATCAATCAATCAATGGCTAGTGATATGCCTCAGTGCAAAAGCTCTGTGTTCAATTCAAAGTATCAAAACCAGGTTTTTTTTAAAAGGGAAATTTGGAGACAGCCATAGTCACAAGGAGAATGTGTCTCACAAGGAGACGGCGCGGAGACAGCCATCTACCAGCCCAGGAGAGTTGCTTGGCGCACGCCCTCTCGCAGCCTTCAAAAGGAACCAGTCTTGCTAACACTTTGGCTCTGGCCTCGTGGCCTCCATGCCTGGGAGCTGGCAAATCCTGCGCGTAAGCTGCCCTGCTGGTGGCGCTTAGTTGCGGTAGCCCTTGTGAACGAATCCAGGCATGCAGGCTTTTGCTGGTGCAAGGCTGGTAGTCTCTGATTCCTGTCCTGCTGGCACAGGCCGCGACCCTGCGTTAGGAGCCTGTGGCAGCCTGCCCCGCTTGGCTTAGCCTGAAAAGAGGGCTGCATGCTGGGGTGGACCTCGGCAGCCGGCCATCCACACCAGGGGCCAGACGCCACATGCTGCGTGCTTCCTGCAGCCCCAGGAGCACGGCTCCAATTTGTGGGGCCCCCTCTCAGGGCTGTAAACGTAACCAGCTCACAGGCTGAGGCAGCTCGAGGTGCAGAACCACAGACCCGCAGGGCGGCGGGCACTGCCCATCCATGCAATTAAGCAACTGCTACTTAGAGAACTTAGAACTGCATTTCATAGCTTGCAGTATAATTTCCTTGTGGTGCACTCAAAGCATTACATCATATGTGATTCATTCTCTTCTTTTTTTCTGAGACCAGTCTCACTATGTGCTGTAGCCTGGGCTTGAACTCCCTATGTAGCCCTGGATGACTTTGAATTTGTGATTCTTCTGCCTCAACCTTCCAAGAGCTGGGATCACAGGTGTGTACCACCAGATCCAGCCAAAGCGATTCACTCTTTACAACAAGATGCCTGCAGTCGCTGATTCTCCTGCTTA